TCATCCTACTCTCTAAGTGTTCAAAAACTATAACGATTCCAATAATAAACATATACAGATATGGCCACTTTTTCCCACCACCACCTCCACCCCATGGACCAAGCCTTCATCTCTTATTTAGATTATTACCTAAAAACCAATCACTTCCCTGCTTCTACACATAAGCCTTTAACATCTATTTTTAACATGATAGACAGATTGTCTTATTCAAACATAAGTAAGACCATGTTACCTTTCTGTATAGGCCCGTCAATTGCTTATCATTTCATCCATAGTAAAAATTAAAGCATTCTGCCCAGTGACCGTGTTAGACAGGGTTCTCTAGAGAAACAAAACCAGGACACTTATGATTATAGATAGATAGATTTATATAGGGAGAAGGATACACAGCTAATGAGTCTATGCAGCAGTTGAACTCATTTCGTGAGACTTTTGATATACTGAAGGTCCTTTAACTCACTCCTGGTGCTGGTCCAAGGTCAAGGAAGCAGACAGCGGAATTTGCCCTTAGGCAAGAAAAGGAGAGCTGGCCCTCAGGCAGCAGGCACAGCAGGTGAGGCAGCTCAGCTGCAGCAGCTTAGCAAAGCAAGTCTTGATGGAATCTCAAGCTTTAGCAATGTAGGAAAGGCTACATCAGGGGTTCTCACCCTGTGTGGCGACCCCTTTGGGGGTCGAATGACCCTTTCACAGGGGTTGCCTGATTCACAACAGTAGCAAAATTAGTTATGAAGGAGCAATGAAAATAATGTTATGGTTGGGGGGTCACCACCACATGAGGAACTATATTAAAGGGTGGCAGCATTAGGAAGGTTGAGAACCACTGGGCTACATGACTCATAGGTTGACTCAGTCCACAGGTATTGCAGCACATGATGAGGCAAAAGACTAGTTCAGGCAGCAGCACACTGGTTTGGTCACCAGGGAGAAAAGAGGAAGTGGCCTGATTTACAAAACCATTTATCTTGGTCACCCTTCAATTGAGCTGTGACCTGATTAAATTCTGCCCACATGTTCCTACGGGAGCCTACTTGGCACAATAAACCTAACGATCACAGTGACCAAAAGTATCTACAAGATTTTCTATACTTTTCCAGTCACTCTATTTGACTCTCACTGCCTTCCTGTCCTTCATCCAGTTCACTGTTGTTGCTTTTTCTCAGTGCCATTTTAATCATACTTGTTGATCCCCCTTGTTGCGGTGTGCCAACTCAGAAATCTCTTATCCTATTTTGTTCTTTAATCAAGTCGTTTTTCCCCTAGCAAGGCCTTCTGTTTTCTTGCAGCCCCTTTCTGTCTCCAGAACTCCCTATTCTATTTCCTGATATGACTTCACCACCCCACCTCCTCATTTAGAGTAGGTTTCACTAATTGATATAACAATTGTATTCTTTCCCAATTCTCTATAGCACTTCTCACTATCTGACATCGTTGTGTGATTTTTTTTATTGTTTGGATCCACTAATATACATATACTTCCATAATAGCAAGGGTTATTTTTGTGGCTTTTATTTGCATTGTGCACTCCTGTTTCTCAAACACATAAAACAGCACCTGGTACATTGTACTTATTTGCTATATCACTGTGAAATGTATGCCTCACCTGTACGAAGCCCTCTCTGAACATCTATGGCAAATTAGTCATTTTCTTTCTGAGTTCCCATTAAAACGATCACAAACATATTGTTATATGTTCACATGCTAGACATTGTGGTTAGACTTGAGTTTGTTCACTAGGACAAACATAGCCACATACTTTGTGGAACCCGGTGTAAAATGAGAAATACAGGGATCTAGGTTCAAAATTTATCAACATTTTCAGCACATTAAAACAAGAATGAAGTCATTTAAAGTACAGGATACAAAAAAAAAATCCAAGCCCATTGTCATCAAGTCAATGCTGACTCATGGAGACCCCTGTGGGTTTCTGAGACTGGAATGGTTTATGGAGTAGAAAACCCAGACTTTGTCCTGAGGAGCGGCTGGTGGTTTCCAAGTGCTGACCATGCGGATCACCGCCCACCTTGTCACCACTACAAGACCAGCACTCTCAAAAAGGATAGGTTGTACATCCGTACACCAGTCTTATATGGGGTTTTAAACATTTTCTTTATTTTCATATCCTAATAGCAAGTAATATCCCTATTAGATGGGTTATAAATGCATATATTACTATATAGATGAATTCAAAATGTTTCTACTTACGTAATTTTTGTGAGTTGCCATTAGGTTGTTTTTATCTCATGATGGATCACTAGTTCAGAATAAAATGTGACATAGGATTTTAAAAGCTGTGACTTTTAAGAAGCATGTTGCCAGGCCTCTGGGTGGATTAGAACTGCCAATCTCCAGATACCATTCAAGTGAAAAATGTCTGCACCATAGTGCCTTGACAATATAATCCAGATTTTTACTCACATAATGAAAAATTAAGATCTCTGGGGTATTTCAAATGGTCAAATCCTTGACTACTAGTCTAAATGCTGGCGCATCAAACCACACAGAGGAAGGTCAGAAGAAAGGTCTGGTAATTTGCTTCTGAAAATATCCAGCCTTGAAACCCCTCTGGAGTGTAGTTATACTCTGCACATGAGGTTGTTGGTTGTTATAATCTAAAGTGAGATATCAGAAGCAGTTCAATATATTTTTCTAAGTTCTATAGGTTCTAATTTGCTGCTTCATGTTTTTTCCAGCCTACTTTTCATACTTTAAAAGTTTTCTAGATCAAAATGAAAGTAATATTAAGGCTGTGCCTTAAGTGTAGCAATAAGTGTTTTGTGAATTTAAAGTACAATCTAGTTTATTTGAAAACAATATTTCATAGAATTTTAAATGTTACACATTTAGTGATGTATATATTTTCCTTACCATCTATTGTTAAGAATTTTAACTGGCCATCTTCTCCAATTTCTACTTTTTCTTGACCATTATCAATAATTTTCTTCTTTGTGATTTTTTTTGTCATTAATTATTTTAGTAAACGTTGATACAGACTTGAAGTTACCACTACCATCATATATGTGGAAGAGAATGAAGTAAAGTCTTCATGACCCAATGAACCAAATGAAGTAGCCCCTGTATTAACAGTGGAAAATTCACTTCCAAAAGATGGAAGGTAGACAAAAAGGATTCTGTGTCTTGGCTTCAGCTTTCCTGGGGCCACTGTGATCCCCACCCCCTCCAAAAATCTTCCAATGGATCTTGAGAAGAGTCAAGTGAAAATCCGACCATTCCACCAAAAAAATTCACCTGATACATGATCTGGATTACAGAATGTAAAACCAAACTGAAATGTGCTATCAAAATGACTTCCACCTCCGCCCTTTAGTGGTTCTTTACCATATTTGTCATAGATGCCCCATTGTTAGCATCTGATAATGCTTCATATGCCTCAGTAATATGTTTGAATTTCCTCTCTGCTTCTTTATTATTCTCAAAGTTTTTATTAAGAAGCTACTTCAGTAACAGTTTATGATACGGTATATATATATATTAATATATATCCTCAGGCGAGGCATGTCTCTGCACACCTAGCACTTCACAGTAATCCACCATGTTTTACCAGATGGTTGGAATGAGTCCCATAGAAGTTAGCAGCCAGGAGCAGGACGGAGAGGCTAGCAGTGAGTCCCATGGTTTCTGCTCAGGTCCTGCAGAGCTGTCGCTGGTGGGGGAGGGGTGGCAGTTGCTTCTGTTTTCCTTTCTCTCCATTCCTCCATCAGTAGTGTATACATTTTGGAAATGAACTGAATTGACTAAAATGGGGGATCTAGTATCCAGAGATTGTTCCTTTTTTATAGATGCAAAACCAAAACACAGTATTTATTTTATTAACAAAAAGTTGATTTTCAATTGCTAAGCAGGAGAAATATTTTTTGCTATTGGTGTATTCCCTTAACATATTTAGAGAAAATGGGAATTTAAAGGTAAGCTATAAGTCTCAAGAGAATTATCCCCCAATAGAAGGTATGTCTATTTATAGGTCACTTTAGAGAAAATCATTATTCCATTTTCTTTTTGTGCTAACTTAAAACAATATGTATAAGTCTCTGAATCTGCAGTGCTCTGAACAGCAGATGGAGAGAGAGGACTGAATCAGTAAATGACAGTGAGCTGGCATAGGAGCCCGAGTAATGCAAGACTTTAGGCTAATCTATATCTTCTTTATTTCCTCAAGGCCAGGATGGCGTTTTGCTAATGAGAACAAGAATGATAATACTCCACATCTGCGTTTTGCTAATGAGAACAAGAATGATAATACTCCACATCTGCATTGCACTTTTTATTTTCAAAAGGATTTATTAGTTTTTTTCACAATATCATTGTTAGGAAAATAGGACAGGAAGATCATTTTTATACCCATGAGAGAACTGAACATGGATGTATTGTACAAAATTTAAGGAAAAATAAGAACAAGGAAAAAGTGTGGTGACTGATGATTAAAATAGGCTGGGTTTCTCTGAAATAAACAATCATTGTTATTTTAATATAATACTATTGTCATCAATTTATATCCAGATTTCTAAAATTTCAAGTTTGTTATTCACATCTAATCATCATCAGCAAGAAGAAGTAAGTGATTCATTCATAATGGAGTTCAATATTGCTAAGATTTTCAATCTTAAGAAATCTTCCTTGAGATCTGAATATAAAAACTACATAATGGTTTTGTAGTTAATTAGTATATTTTGAACATTATGCAGGTGTTTTCTCTACATAAGAAATTCAAAAAATGTATTATAGTTCATCATGTTATCAATTTATGTTATGATGCTTTCTCAAAGCAGAAAATAAATCAAAGTTTTGAACTAAAACTATTGATATTTTGACAAACAAAATAAAATTCCACTGAATATTTTCCAATACTATTCAATAATTCTATAGTCTACATAACTAATGATTTAAGTCCTAAGATTATTTAATACAGTTCAAATGCTATCTTTGAAATAAAATGATTAATTTGAAAATGAACCAGCTTCTTCTGGAGAGATCAAAATCCAAAGTCACATTTTGGCAAATATTTTATTCCTGGTAAGTCTGAAGAAAGAAATGGTTAACGAGCCTTGCAACATCTGGAAGATAAGAAAACAGTAAACTTTATCAAAAGTTAAGAAGGATAATTTGTCAAGGGGATCACATGCTAAGGGATCACAGGAATGAGAAACTTTCAGAGTAAGGTCCATGTTGTTGAGAATTAGAAGTCAGAAGAGTGAGTCTTTGAGAAGTCCCTTACCATGTTCATGTATAAAGGGCATTAAGAAGTAGATGATTACAGCATTAGTTACATGGGCTGTCATTGAATTAGATGCCTTGAGAAATTGCTAATCTGATTCAAAGTTATCATCTAATTATATCCTGAAATCTAGAAAATGGACCTTTTTTCGGTTATAGGAACATGATAGTGTGTCCATGGTTGAAAACAAAATTGAAAACTGATTCCCCATTCAGTGCTTTCTTACTGATTCTATAATGAGTTCAATAAAGAATTATTTTTAATGATATAATGCTGTAAATATCCCTTAGTTAATCACTATTCTGGGCCAAAACTGTTTTCAGTTCAACAGACTTTCAGGAATCCTAACATAATGACTTTACAGGACAACCTAATAGGAAATTCAAGGTTAGTATCCTACTCTAGTCAAACCATACATCGTATATTAGTTTCAATGCTGTGGTCCCCACTATCATAATCTCCCCACTGCTGCTTTTTCTTTGACTATGGAGCCTCCACATGTTCTCATTAGCCTTCTCTGTGACTAAAGACTGCAGTTCTGAATCTAGGTCTTATTGCTGGAACCTTGCAGAGGTCACAAAAGGTGTTTACGCTACCTCTCTTTGAAGTTCTAGTGTAGGCTACACTGTTTGACACAGTCCGCCTTCAAATACAGTCAACGGATGAATGAAAAATGAACAGATGAGTGAAGAGTGAATCTTACCAATACAGCAATTGCCTAAATTTCAGAAGTTTACCAGATTGAAGATTGCCTACAGTGATGCTATTGCTGCTGAGATATGGAGTAATTTTTTGTTGTTATATTGCATCACAATGAAACTACTGTCTGACAAGACAACTACTTATCAACAATCTCCCCTACCTGGCTGACCTAGGGTTCCCTCCCTTAGCTGGCATTTGTATTTCTCCTTGGTGTGAATAATTTCAATTATTAGATAACTTGTTTAGCTGTTCTGTAATTTATTCTGTATAACTTCTACTTAATATTTTAAATCATTGAAAATAAACAATAGTTTACCTGTAAAGCCAAAAGTCCAAAGATAATCCCAATTAAAGTTAAAATGTTAACACCATACCAGGTACTGATTTTATTGTCACAACCCTAAGGAAAATACATTGTTTAGATTGACTCAGAGATGTAAATGATGTTATATATAATTCTACTATAAGAATAAGAAACACACAATAAAATTGAGTCACTAAAAGCAAACACCGAGTGAATGGCTAACTGGAGTTTTAATTTAAGTAGCTATGTTTGATGTCTGGCCATGTCAATTGCTACTGTTAAAGTTGCTAAGATATTCTCATGTAATTGAAATCAGAAAGTTATAAATTTTAAAACTATGGCTTGATTTTCTGATTATTGTTATTTAGTAGGTTCTATACCATCCTCTAATTGGATTTTTCCCAACAGAAATAGAAATTTTAATGAATATGCAATGCCTTATTTATCTATTAACAAACTATATAAAAAGAATTATACATTTTACAACTAGAGTAATGTCATCATACGATATATACATAATATTAGCAATTCTTGGAATGTAAATCTCTTGCTTACTAATATTCTATACCTATGATTAGCAGTTTCTTCTGAGAAGTTTCTATTATTTCATCTGCTATCACTACCTGTCCACCATGATGACCACTGACAGAATTCCTCACCTCAGCCTTCGCCAGTCTTGTACTCCTTCTACTATTACAGAATCCTAAACACCTCTATCAAATTCTTTATTAAAAAAACACACTTTGTAATAAAGTTCCTCCTCTTATTACAGGACTTTTGGAATTAAATTTGGGACAATAGATTGAGGGCACCTCAAGAGTAAGGAACACATAAATAACATACCCAAATAAATTTATTCAACTTATTATAAAACAAAATAATATTGTGGTTCATCTAATTATGGTTTCGATTTGGTGAAGTTGCTTAAGAACCTAACCAACATGAATAACATCTCTTTCATATTAAAAATTTTCTCAGAATTCCACATTTACTTGCTAAAAGAAAATAAATATAAGACATTGAAGAAGCCTTAGAATTTATCTTTACCTCTAGGTAAGTTGCATGCAGTGGCACATCACAAAACCATTTTCTTAATGTAGAATTTGTGCAAGAACATGGAACCTGATTTGAATTTTCTTTATTGGTGTTCTTTATCCAATCTGTGTAATTGTTTTGGCCACAACACTGTAACTAAGATCAAGAGTTATGAATTATAAAACATTCACAATGCTGTTATGTTGTATGATTTCCATACATGTTAAAGTATTTCATTTTTGTGATATTGATAATTTTTCTCCATAGAAATTCTATCATGCAAGTCTGGCTAGATCAGAGGGTGTACAATGGTACAGATGGGAACTGGAGACAGAGGGAATCCAGGGTGGATGTTCCCTTCGGGACCAGTGGTGTGAGTGACAATACTGGGAGCGTGGAGGGAGAGTGGTTGGAAAGGGGGAACCAATTACAGGGATCTACATGTGACCTCCTCCCTGGGGGATGGACAACAGAAAAGTGGATGAAGGGAGACGTTGGGCAGGGCAAGATATGACAAAATAATAATTTATAAATTATCAAGGGTTCATGAGAAAGGGGGGAGTGGGGAGGGGGGAAAAAATAAGGACCTGATGCCAGGAGCTTAAGTGGAGAGCAAATGCTTTGAGAATGATGAAGGCAATGAATGTACAAATGTGCTTTACACAATTGATACATGTATGGATTATGATAAGAGTTGTATGAGCCCCTAATAAAACAATAAAAAAGGGTTGTATGAGCACCCAATAAAATGATAAAAAAAGAAATGTAATGGATACAACAAAAAATGTGCTTTTAATCCATTACTTTGTTGTCTCTGTATTTGTTATTCACAAAAGCTATAGCTTTCTATTTATGCACAGTGGATGGTTATGTTTGGAAGACATTGTTCATCTTATTTTATATTATGGAAGTCCTTCATGGAAACTATACCTGCTCCAACAGAACTGCAGATTGTGTTTAGGATCAGGAGTAAAATAACGAATCACCGGAACTTATCTTCCTTCTACCTGTAGAGTTCCCTGTGGATGTCTCCAGATTATGCTACCAGTATTTAATGTGAAAGAGAGTTACCTCTAGTTTTTTAGAATTTAATATGAGATGTAACATTTCAGTATTTATTATAGTGTATGAAAATTTCCCAAAGATATTATAATAAAAATATTCACAGACTTGACAAGATTTCTATGAAATATCTCTTTTAGTGTTAATTCTAAACTTCTATGATGCTGAGTTGGGAGGATGTGAGAGAGTTGGCTTATATATTTGTCACCTAAGAAATAAGGGAAAATTGAAGTATTTTATAATTATTGAAAGCTATAATATCATTACCACCTATATTAAAATGTGCCAGTAGTATTATTAAAATACAAGAAGACTTTAAGGTGTTAAAAATTAGGGAATAGGTTAATCAACTAAATCTGCATGTGCTGGCCCAAATGTATTCATGACTGGTAACTGTAGCATTAAAGTTAGTGATGTTATGTTACCATCTCACAATGGATTATGGATCAAACCATGCCTTTCTTCTGTGTCCACAGAAACTTCTTTAGCATGATCACAACACATAAACCTCAAATACCAGAGGGGTCGGGCCTGCATATGAGTTGTATGGCTGGGAACTGAACTCTAATCTTTCTCATGGAAGGTGGTAATTCTACTACTAAACCACCGCTGCCCTGGAAGAATCATGGAGGGGGAAAAAAAGGCTACAATTGCCATCGAGCTGATTTGAACTCCAAGTGTGTCAAAGCAGAACTGTGCTCCACAGGGATGTGTACTTCTTCTGTGAACTTCTTATATCCAACTTTCTGATTGCCGTCCACACTGCCCCTGAGTCGATGACGGCCCATAGCAAGCATCTAGGTTGGAACTGCCCCTGTGAGTTTCCAAGACGGTAACTTTTTAAATAGGAATATAAAGCCCAGTCTTTCTCCTGAGGAGAGGCTGGTAGTTTCTATCTGCTTACCTTGTGGTTAGTAGCCCAAGGCTAACTACTAAGCCACCAGGACTCCTTTTATTAGTTTATAAGTGTAGGAAAGTTTTAGGCTCTTCTAATTTTTAAATAGGTTACGTGTTGGGCTTTGATCCTCATAGTCAGCAGTTCAAAACCCCCAGCAGCTCTGGGAGAAAGAGTGGGCTTTCTACTCATAAAACAGTTACAGTGCCAGAAATCCACAGGGGGTCACTATGAGTCAGCATTGACTTGATGGCAGTGAGTTTGGTTTTTTGGTTTTATACTGCTCATTGCCAAATGCTCCCCACCTCTGCTCTAAACCATTTGGCCCTTACCTTTACAGTGTACCTGCCCAGAAAACTTGAATGGATTGTGAAATAGGAATTCTTATAACAACCCAATACAAACCAAACCCATTCCCAATGAGTTGATGCTAACTCAATAGAGTAGAACTGCCCCACGGGGTTTTCAAGGCTATAAATCTACACCGAAGCAGAATGGTAGGTTTGAAATGCCAACTTTTCAGTTAGCAGCTGACCCCTTAGCCCTTGTGGCACCAGGGTTCTTTCTTACAATTATATATACTACCTCTTAATTCTGCACTAGGTCCAATGCTTTCTATATGGCACAGAACTGAAATACTGTATTTGGTAGAGGCTCATCAACAAGTGTGCATTGAAAACAGGATAAAATACATTTCAATTAACCCAGGAAAAGAGAAATTATGAAAAGAAGGAGAAAACAAATTCAAGATTTGTAAGTGGGCAGAATGCGTTCCAGCTAGCTTGTCAGGAAAAAGCACGAAGACCTCTCATGCCTCTCTTCCTTCCTCCAGCTACTCCCTGGCTACCCTTCAGAGTGTCTCATTATAACTTTACTCCCATTTCTCTTACTGTTTTCTGCAACAAATCAAGGACAGTCCACTTGGGTATTTCTTCGGGCATATTTTTAGATCCATATTTAGAGATGACTAAATCAAATTCTGTGATCCATACTTGGTAAACCTATTGAAAATGGAATTAAAAGTCAAAACCATCAAAACACTCCTTGATGTCTACACAAATCTTTTCAAATGTTCTTTCTTTGTCTTTAAGTGAACCTACTTTTTAACTTTTAAAATTATTTCTAAAAACAACAATTCTAGAAATGCAATTTTTTCCCCATAGTGGGAGTGTATTTGATCCATGTCTCCCAATTCAATTGGGCATATTTTAAATAATTTTAGCATTCCTGATTACCTATATATGTATCTTTTCTTTGGACTATTTTGTAAACTAGTTTTAAATCATTATTTTCCTCATTAATTAAAAGATTAAATAAAATTATGGGCAATGTTTGTTTTATTTGTGCAAGGGTAAAGATTGAACATGTTCAGAAATTATTATTTAATAATATTAAAACAAAAAGACTCCATTTCAATAGATAATTTCATATCTAGATTCCAAAGCCATATGTATTTATACTTAGAAAATTATAGAGACATTTATTGAACAAAATATGAGCTATTATTTCTCAATGCATTCTCTAACTAGGCCTAGACACTTAAAGTTTTATTAGAATTAGGTAAAGGTTTACAGAGCAGATCATCTGTTTTATATTCAACAATCACACACATTTTGTTTCCATTCAACCACTGTAACCCATTCAATGTACCACAGCTTTTCTCACTTCCTCCCAGTTTTCTGTTTCTGTTCCTCCTTCTTTCCTAACCTTTTGTATTTTGTCCTTTTTAATCTGAAATGGGTGGTCATTCTAACAGGGGTGATTTTAGGTAAACACAAGGACAGTGACTTAAGAACAGAGTCATGGAGGTTCCACCAGTCTCATTCAACCAGTAAACCTAGTTTCTTATGATTTTGAATTCTGTCCTACATTTCCCTCCCACTCTATCTCCCTCCCCCACTGCCTGCTTACAATGACCCTACAGGACAGGGCAGAACTGTTCCTGTGGGTTTTTGAGACTCACTGTCATCCAACTTGTAACCACTAGGCCACCAGGACTCCCACACTTGATTTAGAACTTTCTAATGTGATCCTTTTCAGATTCTTTTAATAGTATTTGCCTCTATTGCTTTTAACGCTTATAAACCTCATAAGGTCTTTTTTTGGCCTTCATCCCCGTCCCCGCAAATTCCCTATTACTGTATATAGTCTTCCCTATCGCTCAAGTTAACATTTGTCTACTCATTAGTCGGTGATTTCCTGTCCTTGATCTCCTTCTCAGACTCCTGGTAAGTAGCAACGAGTGCTCTTTTAGTGTGAAAACTTTTTCTTTACTTTTCGCAAGAAAATGGTTTGAAATAATATTTGTCCATTTGTGATTGATGACTTCACTCTGTATAATGTCCTCCAAGTTCATCCGCATTTCACATACATAGTTATTCTTTAAACTTGACTAGTATTCCATTGTGTGTATTTACCAATATTTATTAATCCATTCTTACACTGATGAGAATTTAGGTTGTTTCCATGTTTTGCTATTGTGAATAGTGTTGCAGTGATTTTTCTCTAGGATATATAAGCAGAAGGATTTCCTTGTTGTAGGGAATTTCTATTTCCAACATTTTGCAGAAGCACCGTGACACTTTGCACAATAGTGGTATGATTTTGCAGTAAGTAGTGAGTGAAGGTTCCAATCTCTCCACTTCCTGTTTGTTTTTTAATTTTCTCTTAAGGCTGGGGTGAAGTGACATCTTATTGGGTTTTTGATTTACATATCTTGAATTTATAATGATCATGAGCATTTATTCTGTTTGTTGGTTGCCTGAATGTTTACTTTGGGACATATGGGTTTATGTCCTCTGTGCATTTTTTAACTGGATTGTTTGCCTTTTCTTCTTGAGTTATTGAAGTGCTGTATAAATTTTAGATATCATGCTCTTGTTTGGGGTTCATACTTTTTTTAACAAATATTTTTCTCAGTCTGTAGACTCTTTTTTGATGAAATCTCTTGAGGCTCCTGTGTCTACTTTTTAAGAAATTCTAGTAACTATTTTGTCTTCTATTGTTCTCATTATGTTTCAATTTGTCCCTACTTTTGGTGAGGATCTGGATAGTTCTATTTTATGTCTCCTCTTTGATACCTCTTGGGTCTGTCTTTGCATATGAATATACAATACAGGCCCTATTTCATTCATTTGTAAATGGATATACAGTTTGGCCAGCACCATAACTTCAAGAGACTATCTATTCCTCACTTAATGTGTTTTGTTCCTTTGTTAAAGATCAGCTATCTGTAAGTGAATGGATTTACTTTTGAGTTCTCAATTCTGTTCTATTTGTATGTGTATTCTCTGCTGTACCTGTACTAAGCTGTTTTGAATATGATGGCTCTTTAGTAAGTTTTTAGATCAGAAAGTGGGAAACCTTCTACTCTGTCCTTCTTTATGAATTCTTTGCTTATTCATGAACATTTTCCTTCCCACATACAGCTTGTAATTAGTGTTTCCATCTCTTTAAAAAATGAGGTAGGAATCTGGATCCATTTGCATTATTTGTTTAGATTCCTTGGGGTAGTATTGACATTTTCAAAATGACATGCCTTCCTATCCATGAACATGGTATATACTTCTATTTATGTAATCTTCTTATAATCTTGCTTTGTATTTTTCTTTGTATAGGTCCTTTGTTTGTGTGATTGGATTTATTCCTAAGTGTTGCATCTTTTCAGTGACTACTTTAAATAGTGCTGTTATTGTTTTCCTGATGTTTTTTTCAGACCTCTATTTGTTATTATAAAATACTTCAACTGCTTTTTGTGTATTGATCTTATACCCTGTCACTCTGATGAATTTTCATTTAGCTCCAACAATATTTTTGCTGAATATTTTACATTTTCCAAATATCCTGCAAACAGAGAGAATTTCACTTCTTCTTTGCCAATTTGTATGTATTTAAAATTCCCTCTGAATAGGAGTGGTGGTAAAGGGCATATCTATGTCATTTCACAGAGCCTTTTGGTGTAGCTAGTTGCACATGACAAACTACAAGGTTAGTAGTTCAAACCCACCATCTGCTCTATGGGAGAATGAAGAGGCTTACAAAAGTATTTGCAGCCTTGGAAACACACAAGGAAAACGTTTCTGCCCTGTCAGGTCGCTATGAGTCAGAACTGGCTTGATAACCCTGAGTTCTGAGAGTCTGGTTCTCATTTACAAGTGGAATGCTTTCCGTTTCGCTCCATTGACAATAATTTTGACTGTTAGTTTAAAATATATGTTTTATATCATGTAGATGAATTTTGCTTATAATCCTGGTTTACTATTTTATCAGCATTCAATTTTATAAAATGCCTTTTCTGTATCATTTGACATCATCAGTCTATTCACTTGTTTTATTTATGTAATGTATTATATTAATTGTTTTTCCAATGTGAACCACTTTAGTATACCTGGTACAAATCCCACTTAATCATGTCATAATTTTTTACTCTGATTTTTGTTTTTATTGGATTCTACTAGCTACAATTTTGTTGAGAATTTTTGCTTTTATGTTCCTGAGAGATATTAGTCTATAATTTATTGTTTTAGTGATATCTCTGCTTGGTTTTGGCATCAGAATTATTATTGCTTCATAAAATAGAGAATTGTCCTTCCTTTCTATATCCTGGAGTAGTATGAGTTAAATTGGTGAAAGCTCTTCTCTGAATGTTGGCTAGAGTACATCAATAAAGCTGCCTGACCCAGGCATTTTTGTTTTTAAATTATATGTTCATATTATTCTTTTACTATTGCCTTATTAAGGTATTTTCTTCAGTCCCTCCATCACTTGTCTGTCAGTTTGTTGTACTGTGGTGACTTGTGTATTGCTGTGATGCTGGAACGATGCCACTGGTGTTTCAAGTAACAGTAGAGTCACCCAAAGTGAAGTGGTTTCAGCATAGCTTCCAGACGGACTAAGAAGAGACTATGGAAAAAGGAACAGGATGTGTCCACTTCTGAAAAGTTAGCCATCGAATAACCCTATGGACAACACTGAAAGATTGTTAGTTAATGAAAACTTCAGAAATAGAAGCCAAAACCTGTCAGAGTCACTGCCAGATGTGTTCCTTTAGGTCAGAAGGCTCTCAAAGGTGACCGAGGAAGAGTTTCATTCTAAATTAGAGTCAACCACAGAGATATGGATGACGTAAAGCCTGCAGGACCTTCATTTACTGATGGAGCACCACTCAAGTTTAGAAGAAACAGACAGCATGCTTAGTCAAAGAGAGGGGCAGTGAACGATCCTTTACAAGAGAATTGACATCGTGGCTGGAAGGATGGGAACAGACAGAAGAAAGGTTGTAAGAATAGCCCAGGATGGGGTGGGGTTTCACTCTGTTGCACTGGGTCCAGACAGCACCTAACAACGTCAGTCCACGTTAGTTCAAGTAGGCGGTGTGTTTGTAGAAAATTGTCCATTTTTCCCAGGCTTACGAGTTTGTTGGAGTACAGTTCTTTATAGTATTGTTTCCAAATTTCCCCCTTGTAAAAAGGTTCCTGTGGCAGATTTTCATGGAAAGATTTATCTTCAAGCTCAGTAATTTGAACTTCCAGAGATTTCATTCTACCCCTTTGCTCTTTCAATATATTTTTATATTTCTGAAATTATAATGTTACCTGCTGGATTTCTATTTGCTATTTTTGTGTGGTTCCAATTTAAAATTTATTTTGTGAGTTTGTTGTTTGTTTCCTATTTTTCTAATACTTTTTGTTGGTGTTTCCCCTAGTTCTGTCCATTTTTCTTTCATCCATTGGAAGAGTCTAACTACAATTTTAAAAAATCCTTACTAGGTTGTTCCAATACTTTTTATTCTTGAGAAAGTTCCTCTGGTTCTGTGTATTGGTCTCTCTTTCGAGCTACTCTGTCTTGTGAACTGAAATGGTCTGTTGTCTATGGGACACTGCGGCTTTGTATTTGTATTTATGATTGTACCTTTTAAAATGTTATTAATTGGTATTTAATATGCATATCATTATATAGTTCAATCACATCAAGTAGAATTGTACAATTGCTACCACATTCA